TTACTAGTTTTGGGACGGGAATGAATTGGGAGATTTAGGGAGGTGAATAGGGTCTAAAATTTACAAAACCCACCCTACACTCACCCCAATGCCATCCCTACAGACAAATATAAAGTTAAATTATATTTGGATTGGGTGGAATTGGTCAAAACCTCAACACTAACCCAACCCAAAGTTGAATTCGATTCATACTTTTAAACCTTAACCCTAACCTGAGTTTCAACCCAACCCTACGTTTTCTTGGGTCTCGGTTTGGACTAACCTGCGTTTGGGCAATCAGTCTTTTTTATATATCTGCCGAGAGAGGCTTGGATCGGTCTTGACTCAGATATCTGTATGAACTCTTTCCCACTAATACAATGATTTTTGATGAATGCATTCCTCATCTTTTGGACTATTTCAAATGACCTCTCTCTATCTCGGTTTTTTGGAAACGTAAACGTGCATCTCATGTATCATTACTTCCAAACTTTGGAAAGTAGTGTCTGGTGCCAAAAGTCAATCACAGATACAATCAAACCACATATATGTAATCTATTCAAATTAATATTAATAGTTCCAGGTTGTCTAAAGATACTTTTGAGTTTTATATTTCTTTGTTTGGTTTTATACTTTGGAAGATTTTCTTTTCTTATATTTTTATAGACGCAGATTAGGTGGTTGAACTGTTTCACCTATGAACCACCAACCTTAGTTGATAAACATCCAATTCAAGTATCAGTTTTAAACTGAATCCGGTTCTCAGGTCGAACAGTTCGACTGTTTGAACTGAATGGATAGTTCATTCTGACAAAAAAATAAAAAAAATTTTAAAAATAAAAACCGTCCAAACCGTTGAACGGTTCAGATGGTTCAAACAGTTTGATCACCCGAATCAGTAGTTTGTTCACCAAATCAACGGTTTTTGGGGAAATAATAGTTCTGAGATAAAACGGAATCGGTCACCTGACCGATTCCTAGTTTTTCCGGTCCAACTGTCCAGTCCGGTCTGATTTTGAAAACCATTCTTGTTCCAACTATTATTTGGGATTTGCTACATGGATCTCATTCTACTTTCAATACTCACTTAGGAGTTAGAACTGTAATTTGGGTGGACCCGGTCCTACTCAAACTGAGCTTTTACATGAATTGGGCTTAGATTTTGGGTTTTGGGTTCGGACTGGGACTAAAAATTCAAGCTTAATTTTTAATGTGTATGTCATTCTGACCAACTCAGCGAAGTCCAAACAAAGCCGAGCCCAACTCAAGTTGTATTTTCTAAACGTCTGGCTGGGCTTGAGTTAACGAACTCAGGCTTTCACCTATGTTTTCGCCATAGCCTGAATCCAAGTTTGGGTTTAAGTTGGCCGTAAACCCAACCGAATTCGCCTACTGTAAATCCATTAAGACTTGCACAATTGAATTTTATCAGGGGAGAATGACGGTTCAGCCCAAGGTCAAAGTTTTTAGGCCTAAAGTACAGTTAAGGTGGGTGTCAGCCCAGAATTGATGCTAATTCACCGGTGGGCATTAATATATAGAATAGAGTTTTTGACATTTTGAATATTTATAGAATTCAGAAATCTGCATTTGACCTGTTCGTACTTTTCCGTTTTATCAATTACCATTACACAAGCTTACATATAAAGATGTTGCCAATCCATATTTGAATTTTCTTCACTTGCCTATCCATGCCAGCTTTATACCCCATGAGGCCATGACTTATCAGAGCTTTCTTTGGGTGACATTGTCCAATAGAAATTTGAGTTCATTAATTCTAGAAATTTCCATTACAAAGGACTCAGTTTGGCTATATGCCAAGGCTTTTGAACTGAAACAGTGAGGGGAATAAGTGGGACCTTCAGGCTCCCTATCATGCTGCCTCAATGAAGATTTTTGGATTATTTAGATTTGTAGATGTACTGAACAACAAATATAAGGCCTGTTAGGTTCGTTGTTTGCATGTCCATAACTATTTTTTCCACGTGGAGGGATGATGTGGCAAATTGAAATTGTTTACAAGATAAATGGTTTTTTTCCCGCTTGGTGGCTCTATGTCCATCAGTAGTGGACATTTTGGAAGGTATTTCCTTTAAAATTTGCCTCATTAATAGAAGCTAACAGAGTGACAGGGGGAGCATGTTGGGCCTTTTGGGCCCCAAACGTGTTGCCATGTTGAAGATTCCAGGTCTTCTAGACTTTTCTAAAGGACATAACTAGCAAACATTTCAATGTTTATGTCGTCAATTGAAGAAGGCTGGAATCTTTAATTAGGGCCCAAAAAGCCCAGATGCTCTTGTCAAAGCCTCTCTCTGTTCATGGGGCAAATTTCAGCACCCCTGCCAAGTGGGCCAAAATGAAATTCTTTTGAATTGGGGGAGGGGGGGTCGGATTTTCTATTTAAAAAAAGTTGGACCTTTGAAGGATCCCTGCCACTCTAAATGTGGAACACGGAACTGATATGGAATGAGAAAAATGAACAAATGATCTAGGTTTTATTTGGTATCATTGTCATTTTTTCTTAAAACGTTTGAGGTTGATCAATAGATGAAAAAAATGTGCTGTCAAATCATATAAGAGAATCCTTTTTACTAGAAAATGCATGTTGGAGATTAATGTTGCCATTTGGAGTTGAAGTCCCAAATTTGACGTTTAATAAACCGCAATGGTACATGTATTTTTAAGTTGAATTGAATCTCTTATATGATGTGACAAGACGTATGTCTCTATTGATCAACCCAAACATGGGAAAGTAAACGGCAATGATACCAAACACAATCCTAATGGATAGTTCAGTTTATTACTTCATTTAATCCTTGTTGCATAAATAGGATAGGTGGTTTAGCAAAAAAACCCCCTAGATGATCTGGTTAGAAAACCTTAATCAATAAGGCAGAGTTTGGAAGGAGTACAAATACAAATATGTATAGTGTAAATGTATAAAAAATAATACAAAATGCAAGGTATTTGTACTCCTTCCAAACTGAGCCTAAAGGGCTAAAACAGAATCTGTCATAAATGGCCTCTTAAAGCGTAACAACATTCAAATCTTGAGCTTTGAGCTTTCTAAACCTATATTAAAGTTTATGGACTAATTAAAATAAAGCAATTTTATTGTCCTAGTGTCTCATAAAAAAAAAAAAAACTTAAAACAGTTCAAACCTATATAAATAGTTAAGTACTAAAAAGATCCCTTAATCAAGGGGGTAGTAGACACAGGCTTGAGTTATAATGAGTCCTTGGTTGAATGGATTTTCTTAATTACCAAGGGAAGATAAAGCATCTTAAAGGAGGAAAAACTGAAGAAGAGAAAATGTTGAAAGAGCTTTAAAGCATTGGGTTCCCGCCTGCCTATTGAACACTGAGCAAAAAAGTTTTCTTCTTTTTTGTTACCATTCACCACCACAGTGTAGACTTCATCACTTGAAGCTATGCTGTCGTTTGAGAAAGTTGACTGGGCTCAAGAATATGAGGAGAGAGGGTGTTACATACACAACATACAAAGACGTGCTTTATTTGGTTTGGTGGGGTTGTATGGTTTTACTCCAAGATCATGATTAATGGCTTTCAAAATGTTCTTTCAAGGGGAAGACTAGAGGAGTCTGTCTTCACTACTCTTTTCTTTATGACATTGAAACAAACACAAAGAGGGAGATAATGTTTTAAACTAGCAATCTTATGAGATGACAATACATGAAGTCATGAAATGTTATCTTTTCTTCGTTTATACAAATTGGTCCAGGAGGTGACATCCCATTGAAAACGGGGTTCAGTTGTTGAATGGGGCATGCACTTGACTAACATCAATAAAAGCTTAGCAAGTAACATAAAACTAGCTTAAAGGAGAACAAGAATCTTGTTAAAAGCTTGTAATTAATGAAGTGTAGGAGGAGACACTAATGAATGTATAGGTATAGCTGCTTTTTGACCAAGAATCTAATGAATGTAACTTAAAGCCATGAGGTCAATGAAGGGAACCAGCAAAAAGATGTTAGCTGAAAAGATACGGAATCCAATGCTAACTATGTCTTAAATATATTCCATTTAAGAAGAAGTTCATGCTTGGAAGTCCTATCGGTTCCCAGAAAACGTCATAAACAAACATTAACCAAAAACATCAATGGTTGCAGAAACAACAGTAATCGGTTAACTTTCCCAAAGGTTGTACAGTTAATTCTTTCAAACCTTCTTCTGTTTGTTTTGACTTTTGATTAATTAGTGTAACATAATCTAGATGAAATTGCTTCTGGGTTATTCTGATCATAATTTAACTGGAATATAATGAATCCATCCGCTGATTCTAGGGAGGTCTCATCTAATTCATCAATCTGAGGTTGGGCTAACTATCAGTTTACTAAACCATATATATTTGATTGTGAAGGGTTTTTTTGCCAATTTTAATGGTGCTATTAAGGTGATTCTATTGCTTCTGGTTTAAGAGAAACGAATTAGTTTACTTAGGCAAATGTGAGGGTAAATATAAGCAGCTAGTAAAAACTGAATTAAAAGGCATTTGGGTTTGAATACGGTTCTAAGAACAATTATAAATTACTGCACACATGAGTGCTGATATGTTTTGCCTTTCTTCCAAGTTGATACAGAATTGCTGGGTTTACAAAAATGCAACTAACGCAAATACATTTTATTTTGTATTGATCAGAACAAGGTTAATTAAGTTGAGTCACTTTAATTTTTGTGCTAGATTTAACTCTCCTTGGACTTGGGACTTGATGCTCAGAGGACTCATAGTTCAATTTCCCAAGCTCCCTTGAAAGGCAAACTACTCATGGATCCATATTCCCTGAATCTTATATCTAATTAATCCCTTGCATTATTTGAAGCCAAATTAAGTTTGAATATGGTGGTCCACGGGCTTGTTCTTTAGTTGCTTTCTAGACATTTAGGAATGCAGAAAGATTTATATCAACCAGACAACCATTCCGTGGACCACCCCATAAAACTATTTTGAGCCCTTAGATATTATACAAAAACCATGAGAGAGAGAGAAGCAGATTGTGAAGTAATGTAAATGCTAAATATATGTATCTCTATTAATAAAAGCAAAGAAGCAGTGGTCCCATAAGCTTCTTGAAAAGAAACGCCATTCATCACCTTGAACTATTCTGCTAGGAACCCTCCTTCCAACACATACAAATGACACAGAGAAGTAGATTGGAAACACCAGAGAGCTACATGGCTATACTTTTTATGAGAAAGCTAATTATAACAACATGCTGAGCAGAACAGCCTTATGTGGGCATGGATATTCAACCATGCTTCACTTAGACACCCTAGGTAGCACCAAAAAAAAAAAAGGAAAACAAAGGTGGTGGACGAAAAAAAAAAGAAGTAACTTGGGATATCATATGATGAGATGCCTTCTCTCCTTAATTCTGTCCTTAGACTGCAGTTCCTGCAATGCCCCAGTTCACTTATGTGGTAAGAAACATATATATATATATATATATATATATATATATGTATGTGCAAAGGGTTTGGCAAATTCTATAAAAGTTAAATAAATGTCAATTAACTGAGATATGATGAGAGAAACTAATCATACCCAAAATTGGAAAATTTATGTTCAATATGAAGGTTTGTTACCGGAGTCCCTTGGAGCGTTGCATCTGTAACATTCCATCCTACTAGCAAAGTTGTGCTCGTTGCAGCCTGACCTGTTACAAATTTAAGGAACAAAACAATATGCATTAATAGGGGAATTTATGCACAGAGAGAGAGAGATGCTAAAAAACAGTAACAAAAAGATGAAACCAGATGTGAAAAACAGTCCATGCAACATTTATATTCTTTGTTCTTTCTTTTTAAAGAAAAGGACAAAGCATAGAATAATGGTGTCTCCACAAAACCCAGTACTATTTATCTTGAAAATAAAAGCATAAATAATAAGAATAGTTATTAGTATTATTATTAGCTAATTTATTTAATTTTTTTTTTTATGAAGAGCTAGCTAGTTTATTTGGGCCAGGCATGTCCCACAGCTTTCTATGCAAAATAGTTGTATAAATCTTATCTCAGTTTTACTTTCTATTTATGTCTTGTCTTGTCTCAGGACTCAGCTAGCGCATCTCACAGAAGAAAGATGGAAAGAATAGTGAGCTTTACCTGGTGCAAATCCAGTCACCAGATTTCCATCCAGAGCGACCACCGCCGCCAAAGCCAAAGCCTCTTGATCGTGGCATGTCGCCCTCAAACCCACCAGCTGACTCATCCTTGAAAGCTCCGCACTTAAAGCAGCTTGACCGGCTTGCAAAGTTATGGGCTCCACAGTTCCCCGCAGAGCAATACCAGTCACCTGGCCGGACGTCCGACCCACTGAAGCCGAACGATGATCCACCCCTTCCCCCAAAGCTTCCATACTCACCTCTCTCGCCGGACCTGCTGCCACCGCATCGCTGGCAGGAGTCCCTCCTGCTGAAGTTCAGGTGCTGGCACGACCTGCAATTCCAATCTCCTGGCCTACTCATCTTCTCTCTGCAACAATCAATAAAAAAACAAATCAGGAAAACATGCACCAGTGACTATAAATTTATAATATATATGTAGAGGCTCCAAATTGATGAGGACATAAAAAAGGAAAAAGATTAAAGCAACCCCTCTATTGCTTAATGGATTACAGATATTAAAAAAGAAACTCAGGTGGTCTTTCTATGCCCTTCTTTATTGAACCATACTTCCACCTCTCTTGAAAGACAAATACATATGCAAGCTACACTAGCAAGTAGCTAGCTACAAACAAGCTCCACTCAGAGTAGAGATCAGAGAGAGACTGCATAAATGGGTAGCTCAAGTTCTTGCATTTGAGCTTCCTATTACATGGGATTGGGTTGAACCCATGTCAACCACATTTGGCAATATATTATATATGGACCTCAACCTTGAATGGAGTTTCGGGTATTCCTGCGACTAAAAGGGTCATAGGAAATATGAGTTCAAAAACCAAGGAAAGACCAGAAAAAAGAGAAGCATTAAAGAGGAATGGTGTTTCATATATGTGGACTCACCTCAGGGAAATGAAGGAATGAAAGGAGGATGTAAGAGAAGTAGTAGAGTAAGTGGGAGTAGTAGATGAGAAAGAAGAGATTGCTGAAGGTATTTGTGATTTGGTTCGTATGGGATGGAGTGGTTTATATACTTGCTTCGACCTCAAAAATCGGGAATAGAGAGGTTGCCTGTGGAGGGTCGTGGATGTTCTTTTTCGTGTTCTTCACCTGGCCTTCTTGATAGTGGAATCACTAAAACCTAAAAGAAGGAAAAGAGATAAAGAAAATTTGAGATGGATTCCAAAGATAGAAAATTTGAAAAATTAGATAAAGCCCTCAGCCCTCTCACTGCTTCTTTTGGACCGCTAGAGGGAGTGCATGCACACATATTCACAAATTTCACATCTAAATTCCATTATTGCCCCTCTTTTCCTGATTCCCCATTCATATATCATTCATCAAAAGCCTTGAAAATTTTATTCTCTCCATTCATTTCTAGAAGGGTTTATAAGGGTCCCTCACTCAGTATTCAGTAAGTGGGGTCTCCTCCCCAATGTGGTCCCCACACTCACCACCCACACGTATAAAAGCATCTGCTCCCTCCCACATGTGCATATGTATCACACGTGTAGGCTTACAGAATATATAGTGGGTCACCTTTAACATTGCAGAATATATACAACTGGGCCAATCGTGAAGAGGCACATCAGCCTGACATATTGGGACCCATGTGTACAAGGTGTATATCATGGATCAAACTCTACTTCCTCATGTCTCATGAGCCATAAATTCAATTCCATCTGCCTCTCTGATGGAGTATGTAACAACCCATCCATCACACCCCCCCCCCCCCCTGAGGAGCCGTTGAATGGAATTTCACTATTAGTTGCAGGATTAATGGAGCTAATAAGTGTAGAGATCATTTACAGGCGTGTGTGTGCTTGATTCTTGCTGCCTCCAAGTTCCCCACTTGCTTTATGCCATCAGTGGTTAGCTTGCAACTTGGGCTCATGTAGTAAGTTATGGTTCGTTTGGGGGTTAGGTATTGGAGCCTAGAAGAACACTTGTGCAGATCATCACCCTGGAATCTATTCCAACTTGAGGCAAATCCGGTGCCAAATTCTATTCGCTTCCTTTTGGCAATAATTCAAAAGTCATCCCTAGATTCATATCCAATGCTATGATTAGTGTTTTGGTATCTCAATAATGTCTCCATGTCACTATCCTCAGACCTCCCTCAGATATACATGATATATATATAAGTAAATATTCTATAGTGAGACAATTTTGTGAGGCTATAACTGATATCCACTTGAAAGTTGGAAGCACACTCAACTGGATCAAAGTCAATTAAACTAAACTGAACCTAGTCAAGCCGAGTCAGGCAGAGAAAAACGATTTATGTTCTCTAGTAAAGGTGAAACAAAGCAGGAGGAACTATAACCTCTAACTACAACAGACCTCAAACAAGATCTACTAAACCAGCTGATGCATGAAGCATAAGACCCTTTGACTATGGTGTTGAGGGCCCACTCATTTGCTGACACGAGGAATAGAATCCAAGTCCACGTGAGCACAGTGTGGCACAGGTGCTCCATGTTGACCCTTGATTGGATAAGCAGGAACCCAATCACCTCCCCCAAGTTTTTACTAGACAAAATGAATATTCCTCGCATAAAAACCTCAGAACAAAGAGACCCACCTCCTTATTCTTATCTCTGACTGTTTTTCAATAGCGTCATGTCTCTTTTATATTAAGATGAGAGCCCACATCCTAGGTCTTAACGGTCGCTTAATAAACGGAAAAGATATATAGTTATTGCTTTTCAATTTTGAATATTCCCTTTGGTACTTGAACGGTTGAACCCATATGTCCCACATTAGTCAAACAGAGTTTGCAAACAAACCCAATTCTCTTAACATGACAAAACAATCAAATAACTCCACAAAACTACTAGTTCTCTTCTCTCTCTCTCTTTTTCTCTCTCTCTTTTTTTTTTTTGGGGGGGGGGTTGTTAATGCTGTAGTTATTCTTTAGAGTTTGATGAACAACTTATTCTCATAATTCCATCTCTGATCTTAATCTCTTTCTTAATTTTTTGGGAGCATATAATTAGCATTGGATTCAAACTCACATTCAAGATCTTAATACAGGCTTCCCTCAAAATTGATCAGTTGTAGGATTGAATGAATCATAATCACCTTTGCCTTGAATGAATATTAATTGCCAATCCTATGGATATGATGCACGTCTATGGGCTGTATATATGTTGTAGCTCATGCAACATGTTACTAAGCATGCAACTTTGTTTTATTTTGTGGTTTACAAATGCGCCATTACACCCCAAATTTTAAACGTTCTATCTTTTTTAGTGGATCCCTCTATTCAGTACAGGTGGGTCCTACACAAATTAAAGCATTCCAAATATGTGTTCAAGATGTATTTAACTTATCTAATGTACCTAAAGTGGGGTGGGTAATATGTAGGGAAATGGTCTGATAGAAAGTACGTAGTCAAATATAGATTAGACTGTTACAAGTTCCTAGTTCTGGTGGGCATTTTTGACCAGGGACCCACCAACTTTTGTTGAAGGTGAGACATAGGAATCAAGGCCCAACATTCCTTAAGTCCACCATAGTTTCAGAACATGACATGACCTTAATAGCTTAAAATATTCCATTTTTGTGGGCTGTGAAAAGATATGATGAAAGAATTGCCCAAAGATAATGTGTAGATCAGGTTGATGATTCATGTCAAATTATGGCCTTGAGTTTCTGGTAGTGGGGCCCATCAGTGGTGGGTTCCATATTTCCAGTGCCTCTGGGTGATTACTATCTCAAAGTTACAATTTGGTGATAGAAGAGATAAGTTGGAATTGGAGATAAATATACAAGGTTTTGGTTTGCTAGCTTTGGGAGGGGATAACCATGCCCACATGGAAAAAGAAAAAGATAAAAAAGGAGGAAACTAGAAGCTTGGGAGCCCAAGCTGACCAGGTCGGAAATTTTGAGTTGCATGGCTTTAGAAGCATGGTAGAAATGATTTTTATTAATTTTTCTCTCTTTTCTTTTAATCTTAATGAATATGAGAAACCAAGAGAAATTTGAAAGCAGTGAAGCATCTCATCGGTGGTGTCTTTTGAGATTATATTTGATGATGGGTAGAGATAATTAAGAGAGTAGGGTTCAGTTCAAAAGAAAAGAAATGTGAGTTTCGATAAAGATAGTTGAAGCTGATGATGGAAGAGAAGTCTTCGAGGTTATATTTGACCACCCTTTTCCTTGTTCCTCTTGTGTGGTTTCTCCTCTGTCATTTTGTTTTTTCTTCCTCTTTTCTCTTTTTTCTGACTCTTATATTCATTTGAATTGCTCTCTTTCTTTCTTTTGCTTTTCTTTACTTCTCTGCAAAGAGAAAGAAGCATAGAAGATAGAACTTAGAAGCATCAGCCCACCTCTTTTTACCCTCAAAAATATATAAATAAAAATTAAGAAATAAGAAAATTTCAAAACCATAGGAAGATCTGCCCACCATTTTCTTGGGTACCGTTAAAGGGAACCGTGGCAAACTGTAAAACAAAAGCAAAAAGAGGTGTGGGCTGATTCGATTCCCCTTGGGAAATGTTTCCATGCATGACTATGACTAGAACCCCAGCACCCAATGTTTCATTTGTCACTAACGTATTGATATTGCTTTTTCTCTTTCTCTGCCTCCTTTTTCCCAATTCTCCAAAGTGTCAAGTCTAACAAGTAATCATATCTTTTCAAAACCTACACAATAGATATTTAAACTTCTTTTAGAGAGAGAGAGGATGAGAGGGAGAAAGAACCCAACATGCTAATGAGTAATGATCCTCTCAAGTCTCAATGGTGGACCAATTCATTAATAATCAAGATTTCTTTGATCATTGGCCTACCTCTTGGGTCTTGGCTGTTAATGACTGGTGAATAGGTTTGAGATCAATCTACTAAGCTGGAAATATTTTAGTTAAGTGATGACTCGCCAATTAATGCACTCTTCTTGGACCACAAGTGGTTACCATCCCAAACAGGCCTTTAGAGGAGAACCCATGTCAATTCAAGGAGGGTTTTGAATGCTAAAAGCCACCCTTCAATGTGGGCCCCCTCATTCAATGATCATAATCCTTTAGAAGCCGATGCCATTTAATTGATTAAGCAAATACCATTCCCACAACTATTTTTCGATACTTACACAGCAAGAATATTAATTGTAAATGGCATTATGGAAAGGAGAAGAACAAAAGCTGTGGCAATAACATTTCCCAATATCTTAATACATATTGAATAAAATAAGTCAGTGATATGTTCCCTTTTTATCTCTGGGAGTGAGTTGGCAAGAAACTTTCTAAAGCTATTAATATTAGTAATTTAATGACTTTTTTATAGAGTGGTCAGGAATTAAATATTGTTGCTTAATTACACGTACGTATCATCAGGATATTAGTATTTGTTAATATAAAAAAATCAATAATGTAGGTTCGATTTTGAGTTGAGTTGCATGCACGTGAAGTGGTCGCAGGGATTTCAATGACGTCATCACAATGATAAAATTCCCTCCCTTTATTTCCTTCTTTTCTTTTTTTCTTTTCAGCCTCCCAACATCTTTTCATGGTCGAGTCTGAGAGGCCCTAAGTGTCATCTTCGATTCTGCACAGTTTTCCAGCCCAAAGCCTAGAGCCTGAACGTATTTTTAGGGCACATTCTACTGCTTACTCATCACTTCACTTTCGTTTTCTTTTTTGTTTTAGTACAGATTAACCAGCTAGAGAGCGTGGATTATTATGTATCTGAGAGATTGGAGCTTGGAACTCTCCCCTCAAAGTTGCAAACAAATTTCTTGAGGCTACGTTTGTGCTTAAAAAATGAACCGTTGAAAAAAGTGAGCATTGGATTTTTACATCGATTAAGTGACGTTTTATATTGATTTATGATATAAATCAAACCTCAATCCAAATGCCGATAAAAGGCCTAAGTGAGTAGAGTATTGTTTGATGCTATTTTGGATCCTACCAGACTATAAGGGAGTTGGGTTGACAGTTTGACATGGATTTTCAGCTCAAAATTGGCATTGAACTACCGAGAACAAGCCTAATTAACCCAACTTTTTGGATGAAAATAGGTTCTGGTTCAACTCAAGCCTGGATGTAGGTTGCTTCTCCAACTTTTTGAGTTTTTTTCACGTTCATCTAGTGGTGCAAGTTGGACTTGGTTAGGTCAAGTTGATGTCACCCCTAGCTCAACCCGAGATTTTAAAC